ACCCATGTGTATAAAGATACAACTGCGTGAAACACACAGGTGTATAAAAATACAACTGCGTGAAACACACATGTGTATAAAGATACAACTGCGTGAAACACATAGGTGTATAAAAATACAACTGCGTGAAACACACATGTGTATAAAGATACAACTGCGTGAAACACATAGGTGTATAAAAATACAACTGCGTGAAACACACATGTGTATAAAGATACAACTGCGTGAAACACATAGGTGTATAAAAATACAACTGCGTGAAACACACATGTGTATAAAGATACAACTGCGTGAAACACACAGGTGTATAAAAATACAACTACGTGAAACACACAGTAGTAAAACAATACAACTGCGTGAAACACACAGTAGTATAAAAGTTCAACTGCGTGAAATACACAGCAGTATGAAAATTCGGCTGCGTGAAACACACAAACTTCACGCATGTGTGGAGTGTACGGGAGTGATTCACGCAATGGTGCGAATAGTCACGGCCTTTTTTTAATAATCGGTCTCCATAAAAGGACAGAATTTATTAATTTCACCGATGATATATATACATGTGAAATATATATATTATATATACATATATATGACGTGAAAAAAAAATTACCACTGAAGAATTTGAAATTATGTCACTGAAGAATTTGAAAATGCCGCGTGTTTTTTTTGTGAATAACTTCGTGTCACCTATTGACCAATCAGAATTAAGGATTATCGGTCAGGCAGTTTCGAGATATTTCGATATAAAACAACTTCACGTTTCTTTCATCTTTAGTAAAATAGGATTGTGAATTTGAAGTGGGAGTTTACTGAGTCAATGAAGATGGAAGATTTTGACAAAACATTTTTAGTCTCGACACTCTCTCAACTACACAATATTCAATGATTCCAATTTTCAAAATTCCAATGATTCATTCCGGCAGGGAAATTTCTTGGGAATTTTCCCACGGAAAATTATCTCAGTTACAATCTTCTTCAAAAATTACTGATTCTCCAGATGAATGGATTATTAACGATCGAACATTGATATCTAACTTGAATCGTTCAATTCATCAATCCAAAAATCCAAAAATGTTGAGATTGAGATTGAGAAAAACTATCATTATATTTTACTGAAAAGAATTATTATTATTTCAAATAATAGATTTTTCAGTTTTATAATTATTACATTTTATTATTATTATTATTATTGCAGGTATATATACTACTGTATATCACCACCGTCGTTCTAACGGCAAATATTATTAAAAACGATTATTGATAACAATGAAATAATTCCAGGTATTCTTTTCATTTCGCGATGACGAATCGATGAAAACACTTTTCCGCATCAGAAGACAGAGCGAAGCAATGCACACGCTCCAAATGATCTGCAATCAATCTCTGGAGCCAGAAAAAATTCAGTACATTCAGAACGAGAGGATAAGAAATCGAGTAATCACTGGGTACTTCGGTTACGACTGCTCTTTGGAAACTATCCAGAGGATATTCCTGAACAACGAAGAAGTGAAGTGTCCAGAGATCGAAAAAATCATCACAACCAATTACCTGAAGACTGTGAACTCCTACGGTAATGGGAATGGTCTCCACTTCAGCCCGAAGAAGGAAAAAATACTCTTCCTCCTCTACATCAAGGCGCCTGATGATTCTCTTCGTAATTTGATCGAGGACGAGGGGTTCTTGGATACTATAGAGCTGCGTGTCATCAGGGCACTTTTCCTGCAGCTCGAGACAATCTCTCTGAAGATATTGAAACACATCTTCCCATTGAAGATCAAAGAGTCTGTCAGGGGCCAGCAAAAGGCCCCTAAAAAACGAAAGAATAAAGACGTGAAAACTCCAATCTTGAAGAAGAGATTTCTCCCAGACTTTAAACAGGTCAGCCTGCCCCTGCTCAACTTCACCTGCAAGCAATCTCGAGTCTCGATGAAACATCAGAGTTCTCACGAAGGACGGAATGAGAATTCAATGGAAATTGTTGTTGAAAAATCTAAAACTGCGGGCGATGTTGAGACCATCTCGTTGATCGACAGTCCCGAAGATTTTGGAGAGTCCAATATGAATATGAATGATGAGTTGGATGGGGGAGGGACACATGAGGCGGAGGAGAGAGAGGGGAACTCTTGGGAGAAGTCCTATGTTTTGGAGGATCTGGGTGAGTGGTCTGATTGGATTTATGAAGACTCTCAGAGTCGTGGGTTTAATCAACAGACGTATTACAATTTTTTACCCCAGAAACTTCGACATCTTGTTCCTGTAAAGCAGCAGTTGACGAGGAGAGAAATTTTTGATCGGTCGAGGGACCGGGGGGGTCTCAGATGGAACAGGATGGAGCATAAAAGTGAGTATGAAAATCCAAGGGGTGGTTTTTATTGAAATAGAATAAATACATCTCGATTTTTAAGGTACAGTAGAGGCTTCGTGTAAGATACCTCGCTGTTGCCCCCGAATTCAATGGAATTTTCATTTTTACTGAATGAATATCGATAATTAATCAATTTATGTGTTTAATGTTTTGAATTTGTATCGTCCGCGTTCCCTTCTCTCTCTAGACATAACCCCGCGTGATAGAATGGCAGCTGATGGTGGGGGATTGTTATTAGGGTGATGAGTAACACAACAAATCTGTCGAAGGATATTTTTTTTACTCGGAAAATCTTTTACACGAATAATCATTTGACATTTTCTTGTACGGTTACTTATTTTCATCTGTATAACTTCCTTGGATTCACCTATTTTACACCGTTTCACTATAAAAAATAAAAAATAATTCAAAAGATAATAGTGATTCCAAAAATATTTCGAATATTAAATGAATTAATTGCTTTCGTTCTAGTTGAACACGCAAATTTACCAAGACGTCAAGACTCTCACATCAGACCCTGCAAAAACTCCCAAAAGAGAAGAATGGAACTAACGCTAGAGAAGCCGATATTAAAAAACATGAAGGTAATTGAAGTTTTAATGGTATTAGAGATGCGAAATGACCGTCATTTTTGTGATTGTGTCATATGACCAAAAAATGACGGTCTTGTGACCGCCATGTGACGTCCCGAAATATCTAATGCCAAATGAGGGTCACAAATTTTTTGTGACCGTCACAAAGAATTTTTGACCGTCAAAAGAGTAAAATAGTCATTTCCGTTGCCAAACCATCTATATAGGTGCAAAATGACCGTCATAAATATATTGTTTTTTGTGAAGGTCATATAATTTCTACATAATTGGCATCGTTTATTCGTTCAATTTATTATTGATTATCAATCATTGTTTATTATAAGGTTCTTATGGAAGACACGAAATGTATGTGTAGAACTGTACAACAGCTTTTTTTAATCATAAAATTATGTAACATGTGCTTACATATATTTTTGCATACTCATGAGAGAATGATTACACTTTTCATCTTTGGAACAAAATAAACGAAGTCAAGAGTTCTAAATACTCAATTAAGTAAACAAAGTCAAAAGTTCTAGTTAATTAGAAAAAAAATAGATGAAGAAAAAAGTGTTTCATCTATATAGATGCAAAATGACCGTCACAGTTTTTCGGCCAATTGTGACCGTCACAATTAATCGAAAGGAAATCCGGTTTCAGGTGCTAGATCAAGTGAATAAAGAATTTATCGCCGGAGTCGCACAATACGAGGACAAAAAATATCTCCTCCTGATTGATCAACACGCGATGGATGAAAGAATCCGCTACGAAACCCTTCTGCGAGGTAAAACTTATTGCATATTATTTATGCAAATGTCTTGGTAAGGAGAGATTTTGTGGAGAATGAAGACATTTTCTACTCCACAAAATCTGTAAAAATTATTTAAAGACCTTGTGAAGTAGAAAATGCCTTCATTTTCTACTCCACGAGAACACACAACAAAACGACGAAAAAATTTGTGACCGTCATTTGGCATTAGAAATTCCGGACGTCACATGACCGTCATTTTTTGGTCATATGACACAATCACAAAAATGACGCTCATTTCGCATCTGGCGCGCGTAGTGGGAGCATAGGGATTCCCGGAATTCCGTTCTCCTGCTGTCCCTAAGGTGTCTTATACGAAACCTCTACTGTATTCTTCTCTACAATTCTTCCCATCAAAGGACCCCTCTGATTCCTACCTCTTTCTCTCTTTCCAGAATACAGGTGTAATCAAAATGCTCTATCACTGTCCCATCTGTATTGCCCACTGGAGATTTCGGAACTCCCCGAGAAAGTTATGCCGCCGATACTAACGAACTCACAAGTGTTAAAATGTTTCGGTGTGACATTCAAACTAAAGAGTGAAAATAGTGTAGTAGTGTCGACAGTGCCAAATTGTTTCTTACCAAAGAGACGTAGCAAACCCCTAAATATGGTAAAAAGTGTCAAGGATTTGATCATCGAAATTGGAGAGAAGTTGATCAGCAAGAGTGGTGTCAAGTGTCTGCCCATCGTGATCCATAATGCTGTTGCTTCAGAGGCTTGTCATGGTAATTTTATTCCACCAATTAATTACTCGTTTTGGATCCGTGTCTGAAAAACTCCTTTCAAAAATAACTCCATAAAAAAAAGCACAAACAGCACGTGATGGATAGGACAAAGTTGTTTTGACTAAAGTTTTTGAGACGTGGTCCCGTTGTTTTTAGTTAATTTAAAGGAATAACCATTTATAATTGAAAGAATATATAAGCTCGTGGCATGGAAATTTTCCTAATTGAGAGTGGGGTAACCTCGGAGGTTGTAGCTGGAGGGGTTACAAAAACATCTCAATTTCATTATTTTTTGTCTTGAAACTGAGATCTGAAGAAGATGTGCAAGAATTTTTAGAAATTTCTCCCATGAATTTTCCAATTTTTTTTCATTATTTTGACTTTTCAACTGAAACACCTTAAAGTAGCTTTACCCTTCGGCCGGGCTACGCGGTACTTTTGGATATTTCCAGTTTTTAAATTTTTCAACTAAATTGCATGGAACAAATTTGAAAAAATTAATACCCAGTCAGCATTATCTAAATTAAATTTAGCAAAATATTGATACTTTTTCAAACAATTCTCTCTTATAAATAAATAATAAAACTGGTTTGCAAAACCGTGGATTATTTTGTATGAGGTGTCAAAAAAATTCTTGATTTTTTCACGTCTAATGAAAAAAAAACAGATTTTAATCTTTGATTACAAGGGAAAACCAAAACGATAATTAAATTGAGAAAAAAAATTAGAATTCCGAATCTAATCGAGTTTTCTGCAATTTTTTTGCAGTTTTCAATAATCTGTGAATTTACCGCAAGGGTAGAGCTACTTTAAGAGAATGAAACTTCATGATTCATAGAGTAATGATGAAACTCGGAAACGGTATTTACAGTGTCAAACTGACAAACTGTTTCTCAGAAATAAAAAAAAGTGAACTTTGGCTGCAAGAGGGCATCATTAACATTGATAAATTGTAAAAAAATCATGCAATGTTCTTGTAATCGCCCATTAATTTCTCCCATTTATCTTAGGTGCTATCAGATTTGGCGACGTATTAAACGTGAATCAATGTGAAACCCTCGTGTCCCACTGGATTGAGACAGAGTTACCGAATCGATGCGCGCATGGTCGTCCAGCGGTCGTCCCATTGATGGAAATAAATGCCTACAGTCGAAGGTATCAACAGGTGTGTAAGGTCAGTGATGAAAAAGTATCCAATTCCAATGGTTCGTTGGACTTCTACAGACGAATATATTTCCGTTGCTACTGATCTCATTTATTATTTATTCATTACAAAATCTCGTCGAATCATTAGAAAATTATCACATTTGAATCTCAAACATTCGGCCTAAAAATTGGTCCTTTTACGATGTAGTACACTCAAGAAACCCGTTTTATTATAAAAAATATTTCTCGGTGGATCACGATAAACCTGTTCTTCCATCAACTGAATTTAATTGGACAATCAATTTAAATTTCGAGCTTAAATTCCATTTTTTACGATTATAAAACAGAGTAAAAATTATCAAGTATTGTGCAGGCATTTTAAATCTCTGGATATGCTGAGACTAGTATATCTGTTCCCAAATAATTTACTCTGTTAGCAATGATGACAAAATCAGTGCCACCAAGCTTAATGGGACAGGGATAATTCGGACGTGTGTAGAAACACATTGTGTACAAAGCCATTTCCAATTCTGGTGATGTTCCAACAAAAATTGTCGTGACTGGCTGAACAACTTCATTAAGGGTCGAGCGAAGTTTGACGATTGCCCCCTTCTGCAACAGAAAAAAAATCGAGTTCCAAATGCGAATTATTTACACGAGCATTATCTCATAGTTTTCCCATTGGACTTACGTCTCCAAGAGACTGTTGCTTGATATATCCGAGGTAATTCAGCTTCTTCGCAGCCTCCTGCCTGGCATAATACACCCAATTATGCATCCCAATGATCTCCTTATCGAATTGTTCAGCTAGGAACACAGTTTCGAAGCCAGAGCTGCCAGGGTCTGCATCAATTCTCTTGAACTGAGTGAACCAGATACGCCTCAAGGTATCTTTGAAGTCATACTCATCATTTGTCACGTATCCCTTCTCAGCCAAGAATTTCAACGTTGCCTGTATGACCTCAGTTTGCATAAACTGGTCCAACAGCTCGTTCTGTTCCTTTCGTTTTTCAGGTGTCACGTTCTCCTTGACTTTAATATCGAGTTCGTAGTTATCATGTAGAGCGACGACTGCTTTTATCGTTGGAATTTCATAGGCTTCCTCTTTAACAGTTAATAACCTGCAACAGGAATCGGTAAAATGAATAAATCGGTTGGCAGTAGTTAAGAGGACAACCGGTTCCAGACTAATGTTAAATGTTTCTGAAGGGTACGTTCGTTCTCCCTCATGCGAAAGGTTCCGAGTTCAAATCCCGGCCGGGTAGAATGGTGCGATCTAACCATTTAACGTCTTGTCATCATCGCAGTATACCGTAATTGAGTCGAAGCGATGTAAAATAACGTTATTAAAAAAAAAAAAAAATCAGGCCCGGTCGCGCGCTCCCTCTTTAGGGTATGACCGGTAGGGGTTGGTGGAATTGGATGTGACCCATTACGGGTCGCACCAATAACTTCCCGACCATTTGTTTTTTCTTTCATTAATTTTTTTATTTATGTATTTATTCAATCTTTTTCTCACATTTCTCCGAGGAAATACCCATAGAAGACAAGAAAATCCGTGCGCGTGCTCGCACTCACACACACTCCCATGCACACACATCGCCGTATTCCGCATCGAGAAAAGATGTAATTTATCAGAAAAGTAAAATTGTTTCTTGAATGTATATCGATTTCGAAAAAAGCTAGTGAACTGCTGATTAAATGTCTTCCAGTATTCCATGATTTGTGCGTTATATCAAGATTCATCGTTTCTAACAAAAAAAACTTGAAATCGCATCGTTATGCACGGAGAAATGGTCTCGTTTACAAAAAAACGCTAATTTTCGACTTTTTTCCAAATGTTTTTTGGAAAAAACTGGAGAAACGCTGAGACGATCGTCTCCATAATCTAATCAGGTTCAAGTCACATGAAAATACAGCGATTAAAAAAAAAAAGTCAAATCGCATCGTTTCTTCAGGAGGAATCGTGGCACAAAATTTTTGTCACAGACGTCCGCACACACATACACACATCCACACATACAGGCAGGTACCTGAAAAGGGTCAGAAGTGGTTCCAAAGGTTATGAAACGTGGAGAAATGCTTAAATTTCCACATTCGATTTTCGGGGTCATTACAATAACTTCCTCCCTTCGGGTCGGGAAGTTAAAAAAAAGGGTTTTTGAATGGTGCAGTTATGCTCGAAACGGGTAATTTCAAGACTTGATAAGAGACTTCATGAAAGGTCCTTCAACATTTCAGTAGCGAAGTGGTTCAAGTCAACCGGTTTTTTGGGGTTCAATACAAGCTGCGTTCACGTCGCGAACCCCGGGTAACGCTAAATGCTGGCAGACTTCGATGTCTGCTCGCCGACGCTATGTATGTTCTTTTTTAGCAAAGAAAGGATTGTTCATAAAAAACAAATTTCATGACGTCCAATTTCTCCTTAAATAATAAATTGAATAATTGCCATTAGAAGGATGGTGGAGGAGTAAGAACAACTTATGATGATAACCCTATCACCATAAAGCGCGAACTTATTAGAAAATACAAAATATTACAATTGCAATGATTGTCGACCGATCGCTGGACCATTTGCGATCAAAATTAAAAAATGGAAAAACCGGTTGAAAACAAGGCTTCTATGCAAACCAATAATGACAAAAGAATACTTACGGTTCAGCAGCATCATCAGTGACACTGTCATCCGTCTTCTGTCCCTGCACATTCATCGTGATGTGTTTAAACGCATTATTCTTATCCTTGCTCAACAAATCCTCAGTCAGCTTCTGAATTTCGGCTTTCGTGATCACATATCCCAGAGGACTCGGAAATTGAGCTTCCTCACTGGGCGGATTAGGAGGTTTCCCTGTCTCCCCACTCGCCGGTTTATCGGGACTGGCATTGGTACTAGAACTTTGACTAGGCTGTTCTGGGAGCGGAATAACACCAGGGGGATCAGCTGGGTTAGCAGCGGGGGCAGCAGCAGGAGCACCAGGAGCAGGAGAAGCGACAGGAGCAACCGCAGCAGCTCCCTCTGCAGCGGGCTGAGGTGCACTTCCATTATTGTAATAATTATTATAAGTAATCTGGGTGTGAGTAGTTGCCGGCACTCCCACAGCTCCACCGCCACTGCCACCGCTACTTCCATAGTGGCCAGAATTTCCGTAAATTCCTCCAGGAATGATTCTATTGACAGCAGCGTTAACTCCGGCAGTCACAGCACCGAACACCAAAGCTTCCTTGGCTAATTGTCCTATTCCTGGTCTAGATGATGCACCTTGCACCAGGATCGTTTGCGGTGCATGACCCACTGGAGGATTGTACCCGACTCCAGGAGATGCTGAGTGACTCTGATAGGGATTGTAGGCTGGTGGTGGGTGGTATCCTCCGGGCGATTGGTACCCACCGGGTGCATGATAGCCTCCAGGTGCATGGTAGCTGCCACCATAAGATGGCGCTCCTCCATAAGATGGAGGTGCTCCATATGATGGGGATCCATATGCAGGAGGTGGTCCGTAGGGCTGATTGTGGGACTGTGGGTGGTAAGTCTGACTATAAGGTGGGGGATTGTGACTACCTACGGACGGATTATACGGCGGTGGTGCTCCTTGGTGTCCTGTGCTCATTGACGGATTGTTGGGCTGACCGTTGGATCCATAGCCTCCAGAGGGCTTCCAGTTGGAGTTTTGGACATTTGTGGCACTAGTCTTGGAGACTGTGTCTGATACTGGGGCTGAGGGCTTCACGTTGGAGGTTGGGGTTTGCTTCGGCTGAACGTTCCAGCCGATTGTTCCTGTGTCGGAACCTGTTGGAGAGATTGTTGAATAATTTGTGGTCATCGGTATTTAGGTGGAATATGAGTCATATATTAATGCCGCCATAATTTGTTCACGTGACAAGAATTATCACAACTGAAATTGGAATGGGAAGAATTGTCCTTTCCCCATGAAAAAAATCTCGTTTCATCAAAAATTTAATGAGTCATTCACGGTTCAAAAAATTCAAGTATTAATTTTTCTCCACTCACCTCCAATCCCTCCAATTCAAAAATATTCGGCAAAATTAAATTTTGTTGAGCGAGTGATGAGTAATCAACATCAATGAATTTTTAATGACAAGCGTGATGAGTCATGAGAAACATGAAAACATTGAGCAAGGGAATCGGCTTATGTAATTAGTTGATGATTGATTCAGTAGTTTCGTTAATAGAAACCAGTAGATGTGTTATTAATGACTAGATCACTCATATGACACTCACTCGTTCCACAACTAATCTCACCTGTGATAGGTATTCTAATGAAATGTCATGATACTCTAATGAAATACCTGAACGATGATTCCCAGTTTTATGTTTTTGTTCTTGACCAGCCCCGGTCAGTTTGGTTGCCCAGTTTCTGTACTCCTGTCCCCTTTGAGCTTCAAAACATTGAAATGATAGGTAAATGGAAAACTACGGAACCAGCTGCAGTTATTAGTTCTACGTGTCATCATTCAATTGTGATTCAATGAAGTAAATGAGATTCCGAGATGCAGGAAGCCCACACACATACACAACTTGAGCATGCACTTACAATAAGGTATAATATGTACGTTGAATGGTAATGAATTGAGGACTTGAGTGATTTTTATGGTAACGCGTTACCTTGAGAGTGTTGGGGCCTCGATGTTGTCCTAAAGTAAGACGAACCGCGGCTGTGGCTGCTTCCTCCTCGGCGGCTGCTACTTGTTTTCCTCGCATCGATGCCTAAAAAATTTGAAAGCAAAGAGTGATGAATTCTAGGTAACAAAGAGGTTGGAGGAAATAAGTCTAACGTTGTTGCACAGATTATCTCTCTATATAAATAAAAAAATAAGGCGAAAAATTCAGGGGACGCTCAAATTCAGGGAACGCTGAGTGCCTATACGGGGGTTCCTATATGGGGAGGTGCCTGTATTTATAAGGGATGTCTACTAGTCTGGTCACCAAACGCGACCTTGAGACTTTGGTCACCTCCGCGGGGATTCCCCTCCGTGTGATTTAGGCTTTTGCGTTGCCGAATCCACTCTACACTGTCCGGGCGCGTTTAGCGAGTTTCCGGCAACGTCGCGTCATGGGCAATTTCATTTAACGTGGGAAAGAATAATTCATCTGTCCGAAATAATTTGTTTTCTTTAGGAATTTTGGGAAATATGTTGTTCTGAAAACTACTATAATTTTTTAGATACTTCTATTAACAAAGTCAAATGGTTTTGAATTTTTCCGGTTAGCCAATTGTAATTAAAGAGAAACGACGTGTGGCGGGGTTTCCCCCATAGGGTGATCAATCTGGGGTTGAGAGTCAAACAGGAGAGACTAACGGACTTATATCTCAAATAGATTCTCTGTCCCATTTGATTCTCAAAGCGGTTTCACCTAAAGATGGAAATTCATTCCATTTAGCTTCACGTTTCACTTTGCCCCATTTTCTCTGTCTAGTTTGAAAGATATCTTCAGAATAAGTATTATCAATTCTTTATTCATCTTTCAAAAACCATTGAATATTTTCGATTCATTATTATTCAGAATTGTGAATTGTAAAAGGGCTACCGTAGTTTCTTACAAACCTCTTCGTTTCACAGAAATTTGGAAGAAACAATAATTTTGTTTTGGCCCGAAGGAATCTAATTGATTTATTGCCAACTCAAGAAAGTTGGAGAAAGTTCAGTTGATGAAAAAAAAAAACTGAATAGTTTCTGGGTATTGGAGGAACAGATTTACGGAGAAAACGTTGAGATAATTCATTAACAAATTAATTCAGGAATCATGATTCAAGAAAATTGGCTCTGATGCTGTGAATTGAATAATTCGTCTATGAGACATGGAGTTCAATTTAACACTTTATTCTGAATTGTTTGTCCCGAAGTAGCGGAGTACTGCGTGGTACTACTGACGTATGCAACCCAATTATTTTTTCCTTTGCAATCGAGAAAATTCCGGGGAAATGTTGCATCACGTAAACAAACATAAGCAACGTTTTAGTGATGATTTATTCCTTAGAAATATTCTGTTTACTCTAGTTCGCTACCCCGTGTTTATGTCCAGTATTTGGCATAAATTCGGCAAATCAAACTGTTGATTCCCCGAATCTGTGGAATGTATAACAACACGAGAGATGTGATTGTAAAAATCATGAAATTGTTTTGAAATCTTTCATTTCGTTTTTAATTGCAGACGTAAGAGACGATTAGCTTACGACGTAAGCTTCAATAATTGTTCTTGAGCTCATTTCAAATGTTTATGTTTAGTACCATGAAATATTTCGTCAGAACAAAATTGTTCAGTCAACAAATCCCTAGAATGTTCGACAGAATGGAAATTCGATGCTAAATACTCAATGCCAAGACTGAAACTTGAGCCCTGCAATCGATTTCTCCACAAAATTTTATGGAAATAATTTTGTTTACTTACAACCAATAACTAATACAGCAATAGTGAAGACAAGGAGTAACCGCTTGTTCTCCATACTGAAGATATAAAAATTAATGTTTTCGTTTTGGGATTCCAAGCACTGAGTGTAGTTTCTCCTTCACCAGTAGAAGCAAAACTGACGGTCAGTTCGTACCCAGAAGGTAGGGATCTCTCGTGACGTCTTATGAAGTGAGTCACTCGTAGGCTTTCTCTTTCCATTGAATATTCCGTAAGGTGGGGGGGACCGTTGGAAAATCGAGTTTGTTCGGGCGTTCCAGTTGTTTGTGGCTTCAAACATGACTGAGTTGTCTGAATAAATGGCCTTGAAAATATACGTGTGATCTTGATTTCCAGTGACGTTATTTTTTTTCCAGTCTAACACATTTTCACATTAAAAACTTCTGGTTAAAGTTGTTTGAAATGTTCCGTGTTAGGTTTGGTCGCACTGATTTGAAGTTTCAGAGTTAGAGAAGTTAATTGCCGCATTATTATTGCATAATAGAATTGCTTTATTTGTTTTTACAGGAAAAACTCAACTTTGGATCTCTGAAGAAACAACTCAAGTTATAGTATTGAATTGATTGTTTAAAGGATAACAAGAAATATAAATATTTCACGTATTTTATAGGATTGGGGGTGTGTTTATTTCTGTGTAGGGGAGGTTGGGGTAAAATGGACACTTTTGACTTTTTTAAAAATATTAGTGGCGGGTTGAAATGCTGATGAAATTGAATAATTTTTTTTTCAATACAAAGAACAATTCTTTCTCTTTGTGATGAGCTAAACTGAGTTTTATTGTTACATTTGTTCCTGAGTTATGAATAATTTTTAAAAAGTTTGAAGTCTCCATTTTACCCTACCCGCCCCTGCTGATATCATGTGATAAATTCTCATATTTAAATACCCATAAACCATTGGTGGGAGTTATCCCTTCAAGCCTAGAGCCTACTATATTTATAATTACCCCCCACGCTTTTCAGAATAACAATTCAGAAATTTGGGACATGTTAGTTTGTTACTAGGGGCTTACAAGGCGAAATTGACTCTTTCATTGAAATTTTGTTTTGTTTTGTCTATTTATCCACCCAAAAAATGGACGTAAAACACTCCGTCAAGTCAACGATATAATACCCCTACATGATTACTTTATGACGTTCAGCTGTCTACCAAAGAAAAAAATCGTAGAAATTTATACGCTGTCCATGGCTGAAATATTATGGTATTTCAAAAACAATAATAACATTTTTTATACTATCCTAGCGTCTATTGGAGATGCATACATGAAAATTGAACTTACAACACTTTTACAAAATTAAGGAGTAATATCGGGCCTAAGGTATAAAAAAGGACCATACACTGATAGAATGATTCATTTATTCCAAACGAGATTCGTTAACTATTAACGAATGGTAGAGTTGAATATGACCAAATGAATATTCGTTAATAGTTAACGAATGGTTCACTTGAATGGCGAAAGTCAACTCAAACAAGGCTCCTCAAATATACATTCGTTAACTATTAACGAACGAACATTTGGTGGGACCGAATAGACCCTAACCTCCAACCAAGATCCATTCGTTAACAATAACTAATCCGTTCTACCAGTGTAGATATTTCTATGCATCCAACCATTATAGAAATAATTATCATTACAGTACATAAATTTCTTAAGTTGATAATCACAGATTACGCAATTATTTAAAATGCGATGATGCCAACATCGATCAGGTCTTTTCCGAAATACCGGAAACTATGAGTATAAATATAGAACTGAGTCCCTCCGAGTGACACCGGACAGATATCATTCGGCCTGGCATAAAAGCAGACGGTGTACAGAGCCATTTCGAGCTCCGGAGATGTCCCGATCAGCATTGTAACATTCTGCTTAACCGCGTCTCCCATTTTCAGATTGAACTTCAACAGCGTCGCTTTCTGTAAGCACAAAATTCAAATAGCCAGTTTATCAACTCAAAAATACTGTTCATTGAAATTCATGGGTTTTGTGTAAGAAGTCGAATCTCACATCTGCTATGGCCCGCTCTTCCGTGTACCCCATGTAATTAATCTCCTTCAGAGCTTCTTTTGCCCCGAAGTAAATCCAATTTTGTGCTCCAATGAAACTCGGACCAGGATAGAGTTCGGCTAAGAATATTCGTTCGAATCCGGACGTGGCACCATCAATCTTATTGAACCAAATGTGACGAAGTGTGTCTTTCATCTCGAAGTCATCGGGCTCGATGTAGTATTTACTTGCCAGCCAATTCATCGCAGTCGTCATGATATCGGTATTGAGGAAAGTATCCAGAAGCAAATTCTCTTCTTTCTTCATTTCGGACGTAGAGTTCTCCTTCAACGTCGAGTTGATTTGATAATTGTCAAATATATTTTTCACCATTCGAACTGTCGGCATGTCCTCCAATTCTGGAGACGTATACATCAACCTGGAAGATATAAGCGAAGTGTGTTCGCGAATTTCCGTTTCAATAAGCGTTTTTAACTTCCCGGCAGGAAGTTATTGGTTTCACCGAGGGGCTATTCACAAGCGAATTGGGTGACACCGCGATTACAAAATGTAATCGATTATCCAGGATTGCGGGACTGATTACAACAATTACCATTGCCTATGTGATAACCATGATTGCCAAGAGCACAGAATGTGATTACATCATTACAAATGATTTCGTCGATTACATTCTGTGATTACCAAACATCTGTAATCATTGAAATCACAAAGAATGGCTTCTTATTAAATATGAATTGATGGAATAATTCATTATTAGAACCTGCAAAGAAATGAGGAAGGAGGGGCGGGGATTAGAATCGAGGAATGCAGTCTCCATCACTCCATCTCAAAATTTGGGAATTATAAGTGCTATCAGGAAAATAAATTTACTGAATGTCTACCATTGATGGAGAATGAAACTTACCAGCAGATAATTCAGAGATAATTCAGTCGTTGGTTCTCCAGAATAGGAAGCAATTTTAACTCTGTTGAATCAATTTTCTACGGACAAATGCTCTGTGCAAAACGCATTGGCTATGCAAGGTTCTGAATCATAAACATCTGGGATTCCAGGAAAAATTGATCCAGGGATCTCTGAGTCTTACGTTTGGTAGAAATGACGCGCTCGAAAATTCAAAAACAAAATTCACGGTCGCACTAGGAGCAGTCACGAAAGATTACACTGATTACAGTGATTACAAATGATTACCACTTGATTACCAAAACTTGATTACAAATATGATAATTATGTGTCAAAAGTGAAATTCGGGAAATTGGAATTTGAAAGAACTGAAATGTTTCGTAGGGAATTTTCGAATTTTTATACATGCGTCCCTTAGAGAGACATGAAACAAATTTCAAATTTTTAGAAAATTGCTTAATGTTTATTTCGAATTATAACTTACGGGCCTGGTGCTTCATCTGTTATATTCCCGGCTTTTACTTTATTCTGCACGTATAGTGTCACATACTTCTTCAAGTTAATTTCCTCCTTAGAAAAGAGAGTTTCAGTGAGTTTCATTAATTCATCATCAGGGATGTAGTATTGAGGGGCTGGTGGAGCCTCAGGAGCAGCTGCTACATTCTGATTAGTGCCATTAGTTACGGCAGAAACGCTGGCGCTACCTGGTGATGCCGGAACTGTAGGACTTCCACTACTACCAGGATTAGGAAGACTTCCACCCGGAACCATAGATGGGGCGATTCCAGGCATTGCAGATGGAGGCGAAATACCTCCTGGGTTGGTGCTTGGCCCGTAAGGAATGGCACCTGGAGCATAGCTTCCAGAATTACTTGGAACATAGCCTCCTCCAGAACTTCCTGGTGTATAACTACCAGGATTACTCGGCACATAAGTCCCTGGTACACTTGGGGGTGCTCCCGGAGTCCCTTGCCCTTGATCACCGGGTCCATAATTGTTATAAATGATCGTTGTATTATTACTAACAGTCGAACCTCCAGTTGGTTGAACTTGAGGACTGGAGCTCACATAATGATGTTGATGTGGTGCTCCATTGATCAATCTATTCACACCAGCATTAATAGTAGAGAATACTAATGCCTCTTTCACCAATTGTCCAATCCCTGGACCAGAGCTGCTCTGACTAGGCAGGATGATGGTTTGTCCTGGTACATACGGTTGGGACATGGCAGGACCTCCGTAAATATGTGGAGGACCGTAGTTGGGCATTCCTGGTGAAGACTGCATTGGATAAGGATTATGGACGATTCCGGGCTGACCCATGGGATGGTATCCACCTGAATAACCTCCTTGGTAACCTGATTGCACTGAATACGGTGGTGGGTGGGACTGCAGGTGTGGAGGTGTTCCCAAGGGTGCAGAATGATGCGGTGGAGTTATGTGAGGGCTACCTACTCCTGAAGCCAGTCCTGGATTGAATCCAATGTGCGGAGCGTTCGGTTGTGGCATGTTATTAGGATGAGAAGATGGATACGGAAGACTTGGCTTGGACGTGGGGTACGGAAGGTTTGGCTTTGGAGCTGGATACGGTGCGGACAGACTTGGAAATGAGGAATTCCTTGCGTGAGTGTTCTGGCCGTGAGTAATGACTGGTGGATAAGGACGATGAGGATTCGAACTGGGATATGGCGGGTGACCAACACCTCCAGGAGTGCCTAGCGGTGGTGATGGTTTTGCTCCAGGATTCGCCCAGTCTGGATACGGTTTCGAGTTGGGGATAGAAGGATGAGGATTTGTGTTTGGAAACGGTGGGTGACTTCCGGTTGTTGGACTGCCGATTGGTGGAGACGGTTTGGCTCCTGGATTGGCCCAATCTGGATAAGAATTGCCTGAAAGAAGAAAATTATTTCCTCGACTTGTTTTCCACTGGTTCTCGTGGTTGTAATGATGTCTAATGGCATTAGACGTGATTACAACATCCACAACTGATAATGATAGAGATATTCATAAGGAAATGTAGGGAATTCTAAACATGAAAAAATATTCGTTATCTGACCTGGCCGTGGCCGACCTCCACCTTCGTTGTTTATGAATATACTGCTACTGTCTTTTGGATTGGCTTTTCCTGGAAGAGGTGCACTGGGCTTGGATACGCTGCCATGTGGTGAAGGCACATGCACTGGTGGATGATAAATTGGTGGGGGAATAGCGGGTGGTGGTTTATAAACTGGAGGTGAAGAGTGAATTGGTGGTTTGTAAACAGGCGGTGAAGGAATGTGAACAGGGGGATGATAAATTGGTGGACTTGGTCTGGAACCTCCAAATCCGCCTCCTCTGTGGCCACCGCCATAGCCCCCACCACGGCTTCCTCCACCCCGACTGCCTCCCCGACGTCCACCACTTCTGTACTTCGCCTCAATCAAATCTGAAAACACGTTTGATGAACTTCTACTTCAAAATTATTGTGGAAAATAATTGATAGAAAAACTTACGAATACTGCAGAATCCTACGAGCAATAGGATAGATAGTACTGTAAACTTCATAATGATACTTCAGATAAGCACCAACCCGTATAAAAATTGACGTGCTCGACGCTCAAGCGTCGCACTACGACTGGCGTCTTTTTTCCCACACACATCAAGATTATATGCGGGCTTGCGGCGAGTCGCACAGTCGTCAGCGTTCTCAGTAACGAATCAACGGAATTTTCAAGGCTTTTTTTATGACTTTCGAGATGTGTGCGCAAGTGTACACACACTCAAGTGTCGCAACCTTTTGAACTTATTATCTTTCTCGATGATAAATTAGAGCCAGGACGTTAGATGCGTAAATTATCAATTGATTCTTAATGTTTTCGTTGATTAGTCGTATTAATCATAGTTGGGTATCCCATTTTGTATATGATACAAACGAATGATGCAAAAAAATTACACAAGGTCAGCAAAGCCCAGACTTTATTATGGTACACTTATAAGAATAATATAAAAATTTTTTGGATGATCAATCATCATAACTCGAAATCATGACCTAGAATGCGATGATACCGATATCAATTAGGTCTTTTCCAAAGTATCGAAAAGTATGAGTATAAAGATAGAACTTGTGTCCTCCCAGTGACACTGGGCAGATGTCATTTGGTCTGGCATAGAAGCAGATGGTGTACAATGCCATTTCCAGTTCGGGGGATGTCCCTACCAGCATTGTAGAATTCTGCTTCACAGCATCTCCGATTTTAAGATTTAATTTCAAAAGCCTCGCTTTCTGGAAGTGAAAAGTAACAATTGACAATGGCAATGATTAAACAAATTAGAATTGATTGACATTGAGATCAGATCTCACATCTGTTATAGGATGTTCTTCGCTGTATCCCATGTAATCAATATCCCGCGATGCCTCTTTCGACATGAAGTATATCCAATTTTGGGCTCCAAGTACAGTTGAGCCAGGATAAATTTCCGCAAGGAATACACGTTCAAAACCCGAAGTGGAGCCCTCGATTTTATTGAACCAAGTGCGGCGAAGAGTGTCCTTCATTTCGAAGTCATCTGGTTCAACGTAATTTTTCCTTGCCAGCCAGTCCATCGCGGTGGTCATGATGTCGGTATTGAAGAAAGTGTCCAAGAGCAAATGTTGCTCCTTTCTCATCTCATCGGTGATATTCTCTTTTGTTGTTGCGTTTAGCTGATAATTGTCGAACAAGTTTTGTAGGACTCGGATCGTTGGCATGTCATATAGATCTGGATTACTATAGAGCAGTCTGGAAGAGAGAATGAAAGTAAGAAAAATGAGAGAAACAAGATGATCGAAATTGACTCCAAGATAAGTTGTCCATGCACTCCATTTAACATAATTTCATGTTTACAAGATATCTTAAACTAGCTCTTACACTCGTGGGGCCTCATCGCCGATTTTCTCCGCCTTCACTTTACTCTGCAAATTCAGGATGACGTGTTTGTTCAAGTCTGTTTCTTCTTTGGCGAAAAGAGCCTCACTAATTTTCATCAATTCATCATCAGGAATGTAGTACTGAACTGCAGGCAATTGAGAATTACTACCAGTATTCTGACTGGCATTGCTCACTGAACTACGACTTCCAACATTAATTCCACTAGAATGCGTTCTGTCTTCACTTGTGGTCGTTCCTTGTGGTTGTCCATAATTATTATAAATGATTGTCGTGCTATTGGTAATCGTTGAACTCCCTTCAGGCTGTTGCTTTCTGTCTCGACTGACGGTGTGCTGATGCGATGGTCCGTTGATTGCGCGATTGACGCCTGCATTGATAGCAGAATGCACAAATGCTTCTGCAGCGATTTGTCCAAGACCTGGTGAAGGGTTGCTTTGACTTGGAAGAACGATCACTTGACCTGGTACAATCGGTTGCGCCATGGTTGCCCTTCCGTAGAAGGGGGGTTGTCCGTAGATCGGCATTCCTGGTTGAGAAGGTATATGATAAGGATTGTGAATCATCCCTGGGGGCTGTCCCAGAGAATGATATACTTGAGGTACTCCCGAAGGTAACGAGTGATGTGGTGGAGTCGTAGGCGGAGTTTCCAAATGAACTGTTGGATGAGGTTGCATTGGTGCTTGCCCTGCTTCTGGTGTCATCGTAGTTTGAAATCCAATGGGCAGTGGGGATGCTGATGAGGGCGTTGTTGTATTATCGGGTCTTGGAGTCGTCGAGTTACTTCCATGACCGTGTCTGTGCCCATGCCTATGATGGTGACGATGGCCGTTGGACATGGCGACAGATGATTGGGAGTCTTGATTAGTATGTGACGCATCACCATTTCCGGTTGAACTACTCGCGGGTGCTGAAGGTTTGGGGTCTGTATTTGTCTTCTGATTAGTCGGTTTTTCTGGAAACGAAGGTTACTTTCATATCTTCGGCTTTATGATAAATTAAAAATTTATGAGTTTATATAGGAAATACTGAAAACGGAAGATTACCTGAATGGCTTGGTTTAGATTCGAATCCAAACATCGAACCTGGGAAGAATTGCAATTTGGAAGAAATTAGGTTGAGGATGCTTTTAGTTCTTATTTAATGATTCAATGATAATTGATGAGAAGATAGTGAAAGAATGAAAAGTGAACCATACTTCGATGTGAATGATATCCGGAATCATCTATTCCAGGAAGCTGGAAGCCTACTCCTGGTTTATATCCAAGATTATCAAAGTCAGGGAGCTTTATTCCCGGAAACATCTCTTTCAATTCGTCAAACTCGTTTCGCGGTTCTGAAAAGGAAAACAGAAGTTCTTATCACATTCAGTCAGTCACTTGATGGAAAAGTGTAAAATGATGCAGTGAACTTCATTCGAGCAATCTGAAACTAGATTTCTCCTGTGGCAAACGCCTTGCATCTTAGAAATGATGGGCATTATTACATATTCTAGATTAAACACAAATTGAATGGTGCTTCCCGAAGTTACGGCGTTCTTTGCGTTAAACCGCGAAATCGTCGTATCGCGTTAAATCGCGATGTTAAACGCGATGCCAAAGCGTCACATGACTCAGGCCCGCTAATAGCGGAGTGATCAGCTGACGCTTTGGCGTATACTAATCGGAATTATTTATATAATTTATAATAAATTAACCGTACATTTTCTGATATAAGCTCCCGACTTCCTTCGACGGCAAATTTCGTCAGCTACAATGCTACAATTTTATTTTTTCGATTGGATGAGGCAGGTCGGAGAAATGTATGATTAAACGATGTAAAGCGCAAATCTGCGATTTTCAATAATTAGTTACAGATCGCGCCGGAAAAATCGAACATAAACATTTTTAAACATTAATCAGGAGAGTTTCAACTATCAATCACTATAATTTCATCCCCTGAAGCTCAACTTTCCGTTCAAAATCTATTTTGACTGGACTAATCATTGTTAATCATATAAACTAAGTTGAAATCAAAGTTAAGTGACATTTCGTCAGTCACTTAATAGAAAAGCGTGAAATGATGCAATGAACTTCATTCAAGCCATCTGAAAGTAGATTTCTCCTGTGGGAAAGCCTTGACCTTAGATGACGCGTATTATCACATATTCTTGATGATGAAACAAGTCTTGAATATGACGAAAACGTGGATTTTTATTTGACCTGGTCGCTTGCGAGTTCCGAATCCTGTCATCGACATGTCGAACGATGGTAGAGAATCTCGGTATGGATCATAGCTTGTTTTCGAATTTGAATAATCGTATCCCCCATACTTGTAATCGTCCCAATTGTCACTGTGTCTTCCACCATGGGTTCCAGAGTGAGTTCCACTACTGAAGGTGTCACTATAATGATCGTCGCTGTGGCTTCCACCGTAGCCATCACTATGGCTTCCACCGTAGCTATCACTATGGCTTCCACCGTAGCTCCCACTACTATGGCTTCCACCGTAGCTCCCACTACTATGACTTCCACCGTAGCTCCCACTACTATGACTTCCACCATAGCCCCCACCGCCATCGCTGCTACTATGAACTCCTCCAGAACTTCCACTATTACTGCCTCCACTACCACTATGGCTTCCACCAGAACTTACACTATGACTTCCTCCACCTCTCCCGCCGTGACCTCCACCATGTCCATGGCCACCCCCTCTACCATGGCCTCCCCTTCCCCCATGGCCTCTACCCTCTGCTACATCTGAAACTTAACTCAATTGAAGAAGTGCAATTTATACAGGATTCCTGTATCTCTTAGACGTCATGGGAAATTCTCTTAAGATAGATTTTCATGAGAGGAATCACTAATTACGTTATACTTGTACGATTTTTTTCGGCCACAAACAATTGCATACGTGAGCTGTTAGGTACCGAGCGGTATTGACATCTTTTTAATTAATAATTAGAGAAAACATTCTCTAATTATTGATTAAAAAAATTTTTAAAAACAATTTCGGTGTCAATATCATGTGAAGAAGATTTACAAAACGATTGATCATACTTTTATGTGATAATAACGCTATCATCGTAGTGAAAAACCTTACGTACCAGTCTAGAAAAATTACACCGCAAGGTGAAAAAACGACAATTTTCAAGAGAATTACATATTGATAGTAGAGTTCTCAGATTGCGTGAGAGACAGTGTGGAAAAAGTAAGTGGTTGTGGAGAAAATCAAGTGAGCGGTATTGGCTGCTGAGCGGTGCAGGCCTCGCCTCCCCTACGGCTTCTAATTAGGGGAGGTTGGGGTAAAACGGACACTTGACTTTTTTTTAAATGTTAATGAGGGGTTGAAATGTTGATAAAATTTAATTTTTTTTTTTTCAATACAAAGAACAATTCTTTCCCTTTGTGACGAGCCTAAACTGAGCTCAATTGATCAATTTGTTTCTGCGTTATGAATAATTCAAGAAAAGTCTAATGTCTCCGTTTTACCCCACCCTCCCCTACTTCTCGGATTCAAATTTCTCGTACAGTTTGATATTCACGATTATAGAGGAAAAATCATCTGATACTTACAGATACTGGAGAACCCTACCAGCGCAATAGCAAAGGTCACTGCAAACTTCATTATAATGGGTTCAAACAGAAATTTACGAACATATCAATATGTATGTACTCGACACCTAGGCTCCGAGCTACGACTGAACTGCAGCCACTTGGAACGCGCGTTATGTAGAAGAGTTTTGCGTGTTTTATGTATTTGAGATTTCAGAAATGTTACGATGGATTTTCCGAAACAATTTTCTTGACACTTAACATTAGGATAAATGAAGTAGCCTTTTGAACTTATTATCTCGATACCGCATTGCAGACGTAATTCGCGGAAGGGAAGGCGTGCGTTAATAGTGACTAACGCAATTCACAGAAAATTATTAAATCATAGAAGAACAATTTATTTATTCAGCATGTATCATTGTGTGACTGTTACTGAAAAAATAAACTGGAATCAGGTTTAATAAGAAATAAATTCCTGATTGTTGTTTTTAGAGGACTTTTGTTATTTTTTTAAATATGAAATTACCGGCAGTACATTCCTCAGTTGAAAATTTTCTCTTTTTCAAATTCAACGGGCTACGCACTCCCGGAATTATGGCACCCCTCTCTTTTTATTTTTTTTTTATTTACGGCCTCCGAGTCTCTTTTTGGGTCCCATTCGGCACTCTATCCAACCCTATGCATGCGGCTGTGGATTCTACACTGTACCGCATTCGCACTCCTATAGAACACAGAAGTAGCTTGGGAAACCACAGAAAACTCATGCCGGTACAGGCGATTCCTCTATTAGCAACCTCCCGATCGCCGGAGGCTTCCGTTGAAAAATTCGGTTCCATGGGGAATCGAACTCACAACCTTTCGCACACTAGACTTGCGTCTCATTTTTTTTTCAAGGTTTTTATTCGTTAAACAATCATTATTTACAATATATACATATCTTAAAAACTAGAATCAAAAAACTTATTCTATGTTCGTATCTTGTACGAAGTGTTTAAACTTATGGTCCATCAGTGACTCTCCAGCTTATATATATTTAATATTTGAGAATTAAATTTTGTAATAACATTCTGTTTTGATTGAAATGCCACACTTTTTGCAGTTAATATTCAAAAGTCTCAACTTTTTCGTGTGCTTAAAAAAAAGCAACAATGTTTTGCGAAGTAACAATGTTTTGCACTGATAGAATGATTCATTGATTTCAAACGAGATTCGTTAACTATTAACGAATGGTAGAGTTGAATATGACCAAATGAATGTTCGTTGATAGTTAACGAATGGTTCACTTGAATGGCGAAAGTCAAGTCAAACACGGCTCCTCAAATATACATTCGTTAACTATCAACGAATGAACATTTGGTGAGACCGAATAGACCCTAATCTCCAACGAAAATCCATTCGTTAACAATAACTAATCCGTTCTATCAGTGTGCAGACTTGCGTCTAATCTACTCGGTCACCGACGTCGGTACCCCTCTGTCTTGAAAACAGTTGTAAATCACGTCTAAAACCCGAGAAATCATCGAATTCGGCGAAAACCGAAATTAAGTGATTCCCATTTTCTGAAAAGTTGAGTATTTTGAAAAAAAAAATTGGAATCCGTCGCAATTGAATCAATTTTTCTCAAATTTTTCCGGTCAACCAGTCGATGGCAAGGTGAATAAAACGACGTGTTGCGGCAATTCCCTCGCATGGTGACCAGTCTAGAATTAAGGATTTCACAATAAATGTTGTCGATTGAGCGGAACATTAGTTTAATATTTTTGTTCAGACAAATACAAATAGTTTAACGAGACAGAAATTCTATACTGCTGTATTTTTTTTTTTGAAGATTTTTATTTTTTCAAAACTATGACAGAAATATTAAATTCATTTCCATAACATCTTTGCCAATTACTTGGGTTTCAAAATAATTTATTCATAATAGTATTAATTCCTCCGATGTATGGGTTTTCTTTCGTCATTCCTTATCGAGTCTTATGAAACTAATTGAAATGAACGAGTGCAAAAAACAATAAATAAAAATCTGCCTTAAACCCCCTTTCCTCCACCATATATATGAAGATTATCGTATTGCTTCTGAGCGAAGTTCTTATCATTTAGACTCCCACGGATACGATCAAGCCGCCCACCTGATTCCTTTGTGGGTTGTTCTCTCTTGGGTCTTGCCTCCGCCATATCTGAAACTAAATGAAATTCCGTAAATACAATATATATTGGTTAACCAAATTTTGATGGCGTTTTTCTCGGCGTGGTTACGTCGTTGTTACAGTAGCTCTACCTTTCAGCCGGGCTACGCTGTACTTTTGGATAGGGTAAACTGCCCAGTAGATGGACGCCTAAGAAAACCGCCCAGTAGATGGACGTTTGTTTTTTAGCAATTGAAAAAAAAAATGATCGAAAAAAATCGTCACTCAGGGGTTAAGAATCACAACAGTTAGTGAAAATTCAAAGCAACAATTCACATTTCAGTATTTTTTCGCGTAATTTCCTATCCAAAAGTAGCTCGTCCATCTATAGGGCAGTGTCCATCTACTGGGTAGTTTACCCTATTTCCAGTTTATTAGTTTTTCAATTAAATTACATGGAAAAAATTTGAAAAAATTCATACCCAGTCAGTATTATCTGAATTAAATTTCGCAAAATATTGATATGCTTTCAAACGTTTCCCTCTTATAAATAAATAATAAAACTTGTTTGCAAAACGATGGATTATTTTTTATGAGGTGTCAAAAAAATTCTTCATTTTTTCACATCTAATGAAAAAAAATTTAGATTTTAATCTTTGATTACAATGGAAATGTTGATTTTCACATAAGACACTGGGTTAAATCCTGATTTTTGAACATTTCTTCTTCGAAATACCAAAACGATAATTAAATTGAGAAAAAAATTAGAATTCCGAATCTAATCGAGTTTTCAGCAATTTTTTTGTAGTTTTCAATAAGCTTTGAATTTACCGTAAGGGTAGAGCTACTTTGAGTAAAAAAAATTCATTTTCGAAAAAAACTTTGCTTCATCCGTTTTACTGCTTCGTTATGCTGACATGACAGCCCGGAATTCCTAGTAACAGATAACCCAACCGAAATTTATTTTTGATACTCACAGATGGTGCAGACCACTATCAGCGCAATGGTGAAAATTATTGTCAGCTTCATTGTGACTAGTTGAGATACCAATGTATGAGTAGATCAATAAGGTGTGTTTGAGACTCCAGGTATGAACTCAGACTGATTTCCTTGTACTTGGAACCTGTCTTATATACACGGTAAATTTTATGGATTTCCTAGTGAACACGTAGTTCACTAAAAGTGCAGGAGTGTTGAAATCATAAAAATCAACAGCCCGTATGGAAAATTTCCACACGGAAAACAAAGTTAGAGAGAAATTACCGTTCAGTACTTTTTCACCCTATATCGGGGAAAAAGTGCGAAACGGATAGTGAATTTTTCCCCGTTGGCCCGGGGAAATTTACTGAACGTGAAGGTAATTTGTGCCGAAACTGTAGAATTTATCCTGCATTCCATCAAAAATTATCGCAGTGAGTGTGAATGATTGCTCAATATTTCGTACAATTTTTCCGTAATGGAGAATGATTTTTCACCGAAAGGGTTCGGTAAAATTTCACTTCCATTCGTACCCATGACCTTCAGATGGATGCAAGAAAAAAATACGCCCGAACACGTGCGGGCGGATCCGAATGTTCGAGGAATGAGCGTTACGCTACAGCTAACGGCGTATGTTCTTTCTTTTTAGACTTTTTAGAATAGGACTCTATCAGCACACAAAACTTTCTTGGCGAAAGTCAGGTAGTCCGTATGGCAGGAATGTCTCTAGGTTTATTGAAATATCCACAAGATTGTATCATTGGACTTGAGATTCTGCAGGTTGCTAATTGCGAATATCATAACCGTTTTTAGCAGTGTAATTGTTAAAAAAACAACAGCGCAAAAAACGTTTGGAAATCGAAGATCGTTATCAGTTAGATATTATCACTTGTCAAACCAGGAATATAGCTCAATGTCACATATCTAAGAAAATACTTTACAAGTTTATGAATTTCTTTGAAATTGCACAAAAAAACATTTCAATGCAGAGAAATAAAATAACAATGTGTGTAAAAATCCATAGAAATAATATTTTTAGGCATTCATAAATTTGTAATGTATTCTTTTTTTACATTTCTGACATTGGGCCCTATTCATGGTATTGCATAAGACAATACCAAACTAAAATAACCTCCTATTTCCGACTATGTTTGCGATCACAGATGAAAAAATTTGATAGTAAAACCTAGCGAATTCGTTAGAAAATTCTATTCGATTTATATTGAACTTTCTATTAGTGTTCGGCCGATTCTACTGAAATGTTCAATAGAAAATATTCAATAGAAATAGTTGATAGCATTCGATTTTTCTATGTAACTTTTTCTATGGAGATATTTTCTATGAAATTGTTTCGGCTCAAATTTTTCAAGTTTTTTTGATTGATTTTCTTGATGAGAAAAGAAGAAAAATAGAAGGAAACAAACTTTAGCCGAGGAAATTCTATAAAAAATGCCTGAAGAGCATAAGTTATATAGATAAATCGAATTCTATTGATTTTTTTTATTGAGAATTTCGATAGAATTGGCCAAGAACTAACAGAAAATTTAGTAGAAGTCCAATAGACTTTTCTAAGGAATTCGCTAGGTTTTTCTATTAAATTTTTTTATGCGCGATATTGCGTTTTAAAAAAATTACGTTATTATAAACAAATCGACAGCACGTAATTTTACAAAACGGTTATGATATTCGCAATTAGCGACCTAATTGTCCGACCTAAAGTCCAATGATAAAATCTCTGGACATAACGAGACCTAGAAAGGCCCTACTTTACGGACTACCCTGGCTTTCGCACAAAATATCGTGTGAATTGAGTTCGAAAAAAAAAAATCCAACAAAAAAATGGTGGTAATTGTGTGATGCATTCTTTCAGTTTTTTTACACGTCCATGCCTAGCATTAGGGCTGCGCATGAGATCGGGACCAGTCTCGGTCTCCTCTTGTCTCGGTTTTTTGAGACGAGGCCGAGACGATATCACGGGAAAATCTCCGAGACAAGACGGAAACGTTACCGATCAATAACCGAGACGAGACCGAGACGTGTCTCCTCTTCTTGTGAAAACAGAACAACATAACAGCGACACGAGACTAA